TTTATTTATTTATGGAAGTCTTTTTCCCTTCAATATTCATTGTAAAGAAAGAAAGTCAAGGGTGGAGCTTGCAGCCAGGACCTAACTGGCAGGACTTGACCTGGCATTTTTAGAACTGGCATTGGGTTAATTTTCGCAGAGGAAGCAGAAAGGGAGAAGTGGGGCTCTGAAAGGAGAGAGCTTCCACATGCCGCTCAAGGAACCATGCCGTGCCCAGGAGTTCCCAGCCATACACTTTGGAGCATCTCCTCAGATGGCTCAGCCATCCCACTCTGAGTTCAAAATTATTCACCTTTAATTTCTTCAACTTCTAGATTTCTTTGCCAATGGTTTACATGGTTGGGAGACAAAGAATATTGCTGTAAATACTTTGCATGTATTAACTCATTTTCAATTCGAATATGACTTGTCATGATCCTCATTTTATATCAGAGGACACTGAGGCACAGGGACACTAAATAACTCATTCATTGCCAAACACCGAGGCAGGGTGGAGGCAGGATCTTGAGAAGGTGGTAACCACTAAGATAAATGGCAGAATGGGCACACACCACTAACTGTCTTTAGCTTGTGCCTCCCCCAAACCAGACTAAACATATATGTAATCTAAGTAAGATTTAATTTAAGGTAGTTGCAATGCAACCTTCCCACCAAGCTGCCATCCTCAAGTTCCTCTGTGTAGAAATTTTAGAACCCCCACCAAAACCCCCTAGCCTGACCTATGTTTACTATTATTGGATGCTTGAGTCCAGAAAGTACTACACCTGTGCCCACTGTTACCTTTCAGAATGTGAGTTTCCACTATATGCTTATACATCTGTCTTTCTGAAAAATTATCTCGTTCAACTCTGCATCCCTAACAAATAGCACACAACCTGGGACATAATCAGTGTATGATACTTGTTTGTTAAGAACTTTACTTTGAATACCACCACCACCCAAATGAGCTAGTAAGTTTTTGATTTGTGAAGAAAAGTGAGCAGGTTTGTTTTTAACTGCCACAAATACAAAAGTCAGACTGAAAAAGATGTAGGCTAAAATCTAAAATCCGAAGGCAAGAGTGCTGTCTTAGTCCCTGCCCCACACTTCCCCCTTTATCTTCCCGAAGTGGCTGCAGCCTGTAACGTTAATGTTTCTTCTGCCAGTGACTCCCTCTGCTGCTCCAGCAAAGCCATGACCTAAATCAGAAAAGTGCTAGACACAGTTAAGGCTTCACAGACCACACCCTAGCTGTTCTGTTCACACTAACTGGGGAACTTAGCGCACATTGGAGAAGAGTTATTTTTAAGTCTCAACAATAATTATAAATAAGCAAAGAGGGGTGGCCTAGTAGAGCTCATGCCTCATTCCTGTTCATATCCTTGGGGGTTGCTTTAAAAAGATCAGTATGGATTCTGATCAGGACTACACCGGGGGATGTTAGAGGACCCTGTCGTGTTCAATTCTGAACCCCCAGGATCCAGAACACAAAAGACCAAGGAGTCAATAAATGTGAACAATCGAATGATTCCTACTCTATGCAAATACTTGAGAAGTTTGTACTCTGAAGCCTTTTAAGCACCCCCTAAGTGAGAATGCATGACATTATTTGTCTAAACAAAGGTAAGCTAGCCTAATTTTCCTTACTGCAACTTCCAAATGTGAATTTACTCTGCTCCTAAAATGGAACATATATAGTATCATTGTAATGAAATTCAAGGTTGTGTGTGTGTGTGTTTATGTCAATTGTACCATACCAACATGTATATATGCACGAAAGCAATTTTTACTCTGTTATGGGAAGTATATTACTTGTTTATCAAAAATATTATAAATCAGTTTATGACAGTAGAGAATTATCCTAATATGATTAGACTCTTCAGTCATTTTCTGTTCTGAGTTTGGTGGTGTTAACACTCGAAACACTAGTTGGTGCTAGATAAGCAGAATTTCAATGCTGTATAGTCCAGAAATAAAATGCACTTATGAAATAGGACACTAATTCTGAGGCACACCATTCAAACGTACACACACACACACACACACACACACACACACACACACACACTTTTCCTACTAAAATCATTCATTCTTGAAAGTCAGAACCACCACAAATTCCCTAGAGCTAGGAGTTCCCAGCATTCCTGAATGAAACAATTAGGGCACAGCCTGAGAGGAGAAAGTTGTTGCCTAAAGCCTAGAGGATCTCCCAAGGACCTGCTTAAAGTGACTGCTGTCTTTCTTTAAAGCACAGTTACAAAACGCAGCAAACTCACAAATAACACTCACTATGTTTTTTTCTTTTTTATCTTAAACATCTGTTGTTTTCTTGGCTATCTCTGAAGAGACACATTTCCTACAACTTTTAATTTTCCAGTACTTCTCTAACAACAGAATAAAAAAACCTCATCCACATTGTAAAATGCTTAAATTAACTTTCTCGTCATAATTGCATATGTACTGTCATTCATAAAAATAGTTCATTCTGATCCTGAAATCCTCAGCACATGGAAATCATACTTCCAGGGAGCAACAACATCTTGTGTTGTGCTAGCATGTAGTCCACAAAGAGGAGAAAAGACAAGAAATTAGAAGGAAAAGGAGAACTGACCACGAGACCATGATAAAAGTCCGATTCTGGGAAGGAATTGTCAAGGTGCTTTGACAGTAAGCAGGCAGGGGAATGGAGAGGAGTGATGGTGATAGTAGCTGATAATAGCCGCTAGTAGAGTTTGGCACTTTCTACGTTTCTGATACCTAACAGACAAGGCAGGAAGGGCTGGTATCAGGGAATATGGAGGATAACAAAGATAAAAGAGGTGAAATAATGTCTTTCGAAGATCCCAAAATTCAAACACAAATAGTTTATTCACCAGGAACTGAAAATACTAAATAAACTAAATGGAGGAGACCAGTACTGAAATACACACATCCGATAGAAAACATTTTACTTTTCCACTTAAGACCTGAAGAGCAGGTTCGAGTCTCAATCTCTGGCTCCTCTGGTCTATAAGAAGAAACACAGCACCAGTGGCAAATGTTGTCTACCCTGAGCATCTTTTACTTTCATTTCTCTTTTCTTCTTCCAATATGAATCCATTTACAACCTCCAGTTTATCTTTATCGATCCCTTTTCCTGTGCAGTCTTTTTTTTTAATTTGGCTGCAGTAAGCTCTGGGCAGGGTTGTCAGATCTCCTGTTTGGCATCCTTGGGGACTTTAACTTGTCCTTTCTCCAAATAGTTCTCTCACTGCCCGGTCCCTCTCCCAGCTTGCACCCCAAGCTTTGTGCACCCAATAACAGCAGGCGAATTCCACGGGGAGTCACGCAGTTGATTCCACAACTATTCATCAGGTTGCCCACTTAAACTTCCAAACAGAGCCCCCCTACCCCCCCACCCCAGCACCCTTGGCCGCCGCCCTGAGAACTTCTTAACCAATTTCAAGAAACCTACAAGTTCATGGGAGTCTCCATGGAGATTGCTTTATGAAATGGACAGATGAGCTCTGGAAGTATGCACAGGAAAACCAGGGCAGAACCTGGGGCGGGAGGCATCTGGCAAGGAGGAAAGGATTTATGAGCGCGGCCACTTAAGGCGGCAGCAGGAAAATTTACTCCCGAAGTAGAAGTAGCTATGGCTAATTCACAAAGCCTCGCTAATCACTTACCTCGCTACCCGGACCGCGCCGGCCTATGCTCAGCCCTGCGCTGGACTTCCCACGCCCTCGCCCCCAGCGCCCTCTCAGGTCAGAGTGATGGCTGTCGGGACCCCCCGGAGTGTCTGAGCAGCCGTGTAGGCTATCGCTGCACCTTCTCTGCTCTCTCATGTTTAAAGAGACGTAACCGAGACGATGGGATGCCTGAATCATCTCCCAATGCTGCAAAAGCTTCCTCCATTCCCACCCCAACCGCACCCCCGCCGCGGGGAAAAGCGGAGCTGCCGCTTCAGAGCCAGCGACCACCAGAGAACTAGCCAAAAGGACCCAGGCTGGCGCTTTGCTTGGCCAGGAGGGTGGGAGCCCAGGTGACACGAGAGAAACCGCGGAGGGGGCAGCGTGGGCTCTTTCCTCCCCGTCCCTCTTCCACTCCGCTTCCTGGGCTCAGCAGGCTGGGAGCCGCCGCTCCCGATTCAAACTCCAGGGGCAAGAAGGGAGCTAGGTGATCAGCCTCCCTTCCTCCCCTCCTCCCTTCCCACCGCCAACTCCCCGCCGCTCTTCTCCCAAGCCCGGTTTGGCCCAAGGCCCCGGGCACTTATTTTCAAGCTCAGACGCGTTCCATGAAAATGTCAGAGTTATAAAGCGGCCGGTGACCCCGGGGACTTTCGGATCTGGTTTGAGCGTCCAGTCCGCTTCCCCAGAGCTCACGGGCTCTAAGTTTCTGCGCGGCCAGCCGGGAGCGAGCCGCCGAGGCTGTGCTTGCGGAGGCGCACCCCCGGGCCTGCCGCCGGCTGGGTGGAGCGGGGCGGGTGGGCTGTGTCTCCACGGCGCCCTGAGCAGCAGCCGGGGGTGCCCAGCACTGAGTCCTCCGCCCTCTGGGACACATGTCCTTAGCTGCGCGCCCTTCCGCGCCTGGCACGCTCCAGGACTCACTGAAGACCCTGCCACCCCAGACGTGGCACAGCGCGGGGAGCCTCCGTGCACCCGGGCGCATCTGTGCAGCCACACGGACGCGCACACCGCGCGTGTCTCCACGTCTCTGTGCACCATGTTCCACACCGTGTGCGCGTGGGGCAGAAAGTGCAAAGGGCGCCCCAGGAGCCCACACGCCCAGGGGCAGATGCAGGTCCACACCCCGCGTGTCCCTGGCCCATCCGTGCCCCTCTCGGAAGACGAATGAACCCTAATGACCAAAGCTTCCCGACTTGTTGGGAAAGCGGGGTTGAAAGTGGCTTAAGTGAGCCGCGTGGAGGACCCCGGGGGCTCAGGAAGGAAGCCGGGAGGACCGGGGAGAAGGAGAGGAAGAAGGAGGGAAGGCAGGCAGCGGCGAAGGGAGGTGGCCTGGGAGCCTGGCGAGCCCCTTACCTTGAGCGGCCGAGCCCGTGCGGCTGGCGCTGAGCAGGGCCAGGGCAGGGAGCACCAGCATGGGCAGCACGTAT